TAGTAATTTTTAAACCTGATGCACTAAAGTTAAATAATGCATGAGTTTCTATATTTTCTACAAATGTAAATAGCAAATCATTTGAAATATACATTCATAAAAAGAGTTTCAAATTTTGGTAAATCTAAGTAATTTATTAAAAAAAATTGACTAGAAATATTCAACTCACATTATTAATAAATACATACTTATATTTGATTTCAAAAAAATGCATTTATAAAGAGATTATTATATATAATATTAATAGGATAATTAATATTTATTATATATTTATTTGATTAATTGATAAGAATTTAACATAATAATTTTAAAAAGTTTACTTAAACTGTATTTACATAATTTTTTAAATTTATAATTATTTTATTTTAATTAATTTTAATTTAAAACATTAACTCATTTTACAAATTATAAATTAATAAATTTTATTATTAATAATTTTATTTTAAATATATATTATTAATTAAAATAACTTTTAACTTAATAATTATATTTTGATAGAAATATGATTATTAGAACTGTCTTATCAAGAACTTTCTAATGAATATAAGCTCAAGATTTTTGAACTAATAAAAGCAGAGATAATTCAAAAAGAGTAATTATCAGATCATTAATTACTAAAGAAAGTTATAATTTCTTAAATTACAGCCTAATGGTCAAAATAACTAAAACCTCAAAAATAATAATAGTGTTAAGTTTAGTTAGTTTCTTTATTTATTTAGTTAAATTAATTAACGTAGTTAATGAAGTTAATGAACTTTATAATATTTCTTTAGTTTTTATAGTTTATTTATTTTTAATTAATAATAGAAATAGATCAAACAAGAGCTTATTTAATTTATCAAATTGTATTAATCTATTTATATTTTATGAATAAACCAAGTTTTATTCCTATAATATTGATTTGTTAAACTTGTGACTTAAAATCAAATCTATTATTATTGCTTTTTCTATATATTTAAAGTAATCTTACATATTCTAATTTATAATTATATATCTTTAATATTCCTTATTCTTATAAATTAATATCTATTAATTTTATAATTTTATTAACGCAAATAAATTCTTAAGATTATTAAGTTAAATTATTATCCTTCAGATACCTATAATCTTGTTATATATATTAAAATCTATTTTTCAATCAGTAGACTTTATAATTAACTCATATAACAATATAATCTTATTTTTATTATTAAAATTTAATTATTAATTATTTTTTTTAAATGTATAATAATTAAAATATTGCTAATAGAATAAGTTATAAATATATAATTTATATAATTTAATTAATTATATTCTTTTATAAAAAATATAAAAATTATTAGCAATTAAAATAAAATTATAAGAATTTTTTTAATTTATCATTTTATTTATGTAATAATATCAAAAGTTATTTTTCTATCTATTAATAATCCTTTTAGATTTTAAAAAAATAATCTAATTACAAATTAATAATAAACATATCCTTAGATAATTTACATAAGTTGTATTTATTTATATTAAATATTCTTCTACAAAACAAATTTTTATAAAATTATTATTTACTGATATTTATTAAACTGTAAAATATATTGAAATAAAATTAAAAATCATTATGGTTAGTTAATAAAGATAAGAAAGTTATGTTAAAATTAATTTACTTTAGTAATACAAATGATATTTCAAATACTCAAAGCTGAATATCGTAAATTATATTACAAAAATTTATCACAAATGGGAAACTGAGGTAAACTGTCGAAAGTTAATAATGCATTTCAAAGATTCTTCATTTGTTGATTTTTTGGAATTAGATGAAATTCTACATAAATCGTAAAAATTTAAACGACTTTTTTTAAAAAAACATATAGCCACCATTCTGATTGAATTTACATTGCCATTAATGTTAAACGCATCTACTTTCGAAGTATCCTACATAAATAAATTTGGAATTTTATGTTTATTAATTATAAAACAAGAAATGCGATAAAAAAAATATATATAATAATAACCTAAATATATTGATAAACGAGTTGAATCTTGAAGTTATGTTTCGACACTGAGAGTTTTTAAACCAACGATTCCAACACCTTTCACTAAACCCACAATAAAGACACCAATTTTTCTATGACTGCCAACCTTATAAATTCGAACATTTTCTTTACCATGAAAAGTAGCTTCAATAATTTTTTGTAGTTCTTTATAACCATCTCTTTGACCATAAGGATCTTCAGCATGAACAACAGTGAAAGGATTAAAAAATTCTCCAAAATCCAATATATTATTTTCATTTCCTTCTTCCGCAGATTCTTCTTCTTCTGTTAAAGTTATATTGCTTTTCTTTATTAAAGATTTAAATTCTTCACAATTACTTGGTAATTCGGATATTTCTTCATTTGGTATGAAAATGAATTCATATGGTTCTTCAGCTTCAGAAATATATAATAATTGTGAACTTGCTTCCAACAATGTTTCTCTTATACGTTGAATATCAGCTGGGAATGTTGTTGGATCTTGCATTTGGGTTATTGTCAAAGGTACTTCTTTAGGTTGTATAAATGGCTGTGTCTTTTTTTCATAGTCTTCAAGAAACGAAAGGTATTCTGCGTCTTTTGGATCCATTTTTTAGGGGGGAGGGAATTTGAGAGCAAGTAGTAATTTATATCAAAAAATCTATCTGGATCTAATCAGTAACACAAAAGAGATCAATATAAATAAGAACTATCATTTGGTTGCTTTTCTTTTTTTAATTAACTATATAATAATGGTATTTTTCCGTAATCCTAATGTACGATCTTTTATTAGAACAGCTGCTTGGAGCCCTGTTATTTTATTTTTTGTTGAACATGGTTTTAGTATAGGATCTATTCAGGGAAGATCTATGCAGGTATATTACACCTTTGAAAAGTATACCTTTAAAAAAATAGATATTTTTTTTTCCTTAGATTTCGAATTAATTTATTGAGGATGATTATAAAATGATTTTATCGATCAGAAAAAAACAACCTAGACTTTAAAAAAAAAATATCTAAAAAAATTTTTAGCCAACGTTTAACCCTGATTCAAACAAACTCCGTAGAGATATTGTTTTACTAAATCGTTGGATAGCTGTTACGCATGAATACTCGAGAGGTGATGTAGTAACATTATAGTAAGTAATTTTTAATTAAAATCCATTTATTTTCCCGAGTTTATTTTTGATTTATTTTTGATTGTGAAAAAGTGCACCAGATGATCCGGATCGCGTGATAACAAAAAGAATAATAGCATTAGAAGGTGATACCGTATTACCTTTACCTCCTTATCCTGATAAATTTGTTAAAATACCAAAAGGACACTGTTGGGTTGAAGGTGATGAAATATTTCATAGTAAAGATAGTAACGAATATGGTCCAGTAAGTAGATTTTTATTTTTTTTATAAATCCTTATATTTTTTAATCTGAGGATTATTTATGTTTTATAGGTACCATTAGCATTGATAAATGCTAAAGTTTCTTACATATTATGGCCATTTTCAAGATTTAGTAAAGTAGAACGTTTTGAAAACTCTCGTGTTTCCGTATTTAAAGGAGATCCTTTAAAAGATCATGATTAATAAATTATACAAATAAAATTCTTAAATCATTTCAGAAGATCTGAAGAAAATTGAAGAATTTATTTAACACAAACTGTGTAGCAAGCAAATATCACAATGACTAGAAATATTATTATCTACATTCAATAAAATACCACTATTCTTCCATTTCTCTCCTTTAAATGTTCATTGAGAAGTTAACTAAACCAGCTTTTAATCTTTTCTCCTAAAGAACTCTTAGGAAATTGTTTTTGATAGTGTAAACTTTTACCTAGATCTGAAGACCGTTTTTCTTGTAACCTTTGATAATAATCACCACCTTGACCATCGTTACCAGGTCCTAAAGTTTGCTGAGAACGTTGTGGACCTGATTGAACTGTTTTATTTGGTAAACCTTCTCCAGTAGAGGATTTTTCTTCCCTACTCATTGATGCTTGTTCATTTCTAATATTTTCGATATTTTGATCGTGTAATTGAGAAGCATCTGATGGATTTGAAGCATTTGATTTGTTTTTAAATTGAACCATTTTTTTTTTATTTATTAAAAAAATTTTTACAAGCTCGATAAGAAAAATATCTCCCGATATATATTTATAATTAATAAATAAATAATATTAATTAAATCACGATTATCTCATTCCTTTTTACTTTACTATATGCTAGTTTGTCATTATGATAACATTCATTCATGACGAGATTTTATTTTAGTATTTTATTCAAATATGGACAAGCATTTATTTGATAATGTTTTTATTATATAAATATTATCTCACACTATTTTTTTGTATAGATTATGTCATTTAATTTTGATAAAAAAAAGTATTTAAAATTCAAATGTTTTTTTAATATACATATCTTTATAAACAAAAAAGATTATTTTTGTTATATAGTAAATATAAATTCATCAAATATTCTTATATTAGCAAGTTTTTGCTTAATTATTATATTATAGATTTTTATTGATTTCACTTTTATAATAAATGAATTAAAAATATATAATTTAAATTTACATAATTTATATCAGTATATAAAATCTAAGTGAAAATTTATGTATACAAGTTTATAAATTATTATTAAAATAAGAAAAATCATAACAATTTCTTATGTAAATTTACCTTTTTTGTACATAATTTATCTATTTTTAGTAATAATTTATACATATTTTATATTATGTAATATATGTATACAAAAAATTAATATATATATATACATTATATATATAAATTTTACATACTAATTTACTTTTAAGAATATTTAAATTTAATAATTAGTATTTTAATACTTAATTAAAATATACTAATTTTATTATTAAAAAGTAATATCTATTATATAAAATCTTAAAAATTTTATGATAATGTATCAATATTTTATCAATATCAAATTAATAAATCAATATTATTATTGATTTAATAATTTATAATATCATATCAATAATAAATTAATATTAAATAATGATAAATTAAAAAAGTTTAATCATTATTATAAATATATATTAATAATATATTATAAAATTAATATGATATTATGATAATATTTTTATAAATATAATATCAATATTAAATTAATATTATAAATAATATTAAAATTTACATATTAATAATAAATATTATTTAGCTCAAATTGCTTAATAAGTAATTTATCTGATATTTCATAATAATATAAATTCTTTTAAGCTATTGTTTAATATTTTTTAAATATTTTTTACTTAAGATATTTTTTTATACAACTCTTTTTAATATTTCTTCTTAATTCTTTTAATAGAATCCTATTTCAATCTACAGCCGAAAAGCTTTTTAAAATTCAATAAAATTATATACTATTAAATATAATAAAATATATTGTTAACGTGTGATTTTGGTATGCTATAGTTAAACGAGATGTTTGAGTGTTATTTCTTTTAATATATGTAGTAATTATTGATCTATTCCTAAGCCCTAAACTTATAATTGGTATCACTTGAATGTATTTAGATTATAATTCCTTAAGATTTTTATGTTTATAAAGATTCACAATGGCTGTAGTTGTCACGAAGGCTTAACTGTTACTTTAATTTACAAAGACTTATATGATCACTCAGATTGCAGCTTATTGCTAAGACTTATGCATTACACAGATGTTATATATCACGCTATCATTTATAAATCACACAGATGTAATGATAAAACAGTTTATTGATAAAAAGAAAAATATAAATAAGGATTAGAGAATTATTGCACACAGCCGAGTTGAATTCTCAAGAAATAAAAGAAAGAATAAAATATAAGAAGAATGTTATTATCAGACTAGAAGAAATCTAACTCTCTGCTTTCTACAAGTTCTAAAATCTACTGTATTTATATCTTTTCAATTACATATAACAATAAATAAAATATATTAAATAAATAAGTTATATCTGTTATACTGATATTACATGAAAAATTTTTAGGATGATCTTCCTAATGTAGATCCTTAGAAACTATATTAACCTTGTTAACCTCGTTTACGTCATCTATCTCGTTTATTTAGTTAACTTAGTTTATTTATTTAATTTAATTTATTTATTTAACTTAGTTTATTAATTATATTTAGTTTATTTATTTTACATTATTAACAATTATATATTTTTTATTTTATATAAATATGAGTTGAGAATCCTTAGAGATTCAGAGAATTCAAAGAGTTTACTGAAGTAAAGACTTATAGAAATAGTCTAGATTAGTTTAGTTTAATTATTTAAAATATTTGTATAGTATAGAAGCGCTGATGTTTGAGGTAGTACTCATTTGTTAATATATATCAAATAAATTACTGATACCTATATTTTACCTAATCTCAACTATAAATTAAACCTTCTGCTTACCACATATATTATCTGTTTGCTTATAACATTTAAGCAACATAAAAAACTGACTGTAACACTAACTATGTCAACAATGTTGATAATGTTATTAATGTCAATAATGTCAACAATGTTAATAATGTCATTAATATCAACAATATCAACTATATCAACAATGTCAAGAATATAACGTAATACATGTAGATCAATTTGTAGATCAATTCTGTATGCAATTTCTTTAGTAGATCAATTTAGTGAAACATGTTAATCATTTACTTTGTCACATTTTTTTTTATAATCACTTAACATCCTGGTATTTTCTAACATTTTCCATAGTCTTACCACATAATGAGTTTGAAGAAGTCTTTTTCAAATGCATTCTTAGCTTTTTGGTGTAATTTAGTATTTTTTGCAATATATGGAGCCAACCAGTTCATTTGGTTAAATGATAAGATCTCTGTGACCTCATCTACAACTATGTCCAACTTTATATAATACTGAAGCTTCTGATAATGAATGACATAATTTTTTCGTAAGCTAAGATGAGGGACTAATTTTTTTGTTACATAGAATCATTCACTATCCATATCATTCACAAGCTTAGCATTGTATAGGCATAGCATATCCTTTTTACTGCAACATTTTCCATAGCTGGAAGTAACTCCCTCAAATAGTTATGAGTCTTTAGAGGGAAATGTGAATTAATCATTAAGAAAAACCACGTGATGCATCTGCTTCAGTCTTGACAATCATTTCGAGATATTTCTTTTGCATTTTAAGATTATTCTTTAGATATTCTCAACTAGCAATCCACTTATAATTTCCAATTGGAAGAAATTGGCTCATGACTCAGTCATAAAAATTATTCACATCGACATAAGAGATCCATGTTGTGGGTTGGGATAGATTGAATTCTTTTCCTATGCTAGGATTATTTGCTTGAAAATGTCTATGTACTGCTATAGTAATACCACCTCACTTTGCTTTTTCAATGAAGTCATGTATTACCATTTCTGTAAATAGCTCGATCTTGACCTTAGTCATCTTAAGTATAGCATCTCAGAATAGAGAAGATGCAGATACATAATGGCTGGAATCAAGGTCATAATGATGCATGAATGTCTTTCTAAATATTGTCCAGACATCTGCTAGACTAAGTATGTCTATTTTGAGATAGAGATCATTATATTCTTCCAAGCTTTTACATCCAAATTCATTCTATACATTTT